GGGAGAAAGATGTGGCAGTCAGCTTGTGTACATATTACAGCCTTAGAAACCCCTATGGGGCACAGTTCTACTCTGTCCTTTAGGGTCAGCTATCAGTTGGAATTAACTCAATGGCAATAGGTAATGGGTTTAATAGGTTTACAACCTACCTTTAATTTCTTCCCATAAAGTCATCAAATAAGAAAAAAAAAAACCCTTCTTAATGGGAAATTGCAATTTATCTTAGCTGTTCAAAACAAAGTATTTAATACCAATAATAAAACGAAAAACATTTATGTTAAGTATTTTATTATTTGTGGCTGCCAGTGTATATAAAATAATTACCCTTGTGAAATATAAATTCATGAAAATTCAGAGAGGTAGATATTAAGGACTGACAAAAGTAGAAATTTGAATAGTATGGCACATGTGTTGTAGGCATAAGCTTTTCTACAGGCTTCAAATTTAGCTCTTTGAATATATTCACTGGTTCATCAACAGTGGTTCTGGAAACCTGAAATGGAAATAAAGTGAATTAAGCTGAAGTATAAAGAATAATTATGTTTTTATTATCTTTCACCACAACTTCACAAAGTTATCATTTGCGTATATCTCAGTCTTATAAATTGTTCATGTCCTTTACCTGTTTTTCAAAATAACAGTTGTTGTTGTTGTTGTTGCTGTTGTTGTTATTTGCCGTCAAGTCAGCCCCGACTCATAGCGACCCCTCCTTGGATTTCCGAGGCAGTATCACTACGGAAGTAGGATTGCCCAACCTTCCTTCCGAGCAAAATAACAGTATATCCTGTATATACCTTGTGTGTGTGTGTGTATATATATATACTCATATATATATTCATTATACTGTACTGTAGCATTCCACTCACGCACTGTCTTCAGTTAATGAAGTTTTTCTTCTAATGCAATTCTTAATTCCAATCTTCTCTAATACTACCCTTGTTAGAGAGTCAGCTGTAATTATATATATAAAATAGTATATACCTTGAAAGCATATATTACTTTCAAGGTAATTTATTTTGAATGTCAATTTATAAAGTACTTTCAATTAAACTGAGCCTATTTCCTTATCTGTATTTTTAAAAAAGAGAGTACTCTACATCTTGGATTTTCTATGAAACAAAGAATGAGAAATAAGGTTAAGTGAGATACCTAAAACTCATAGTAGGCAATCAAACATAAGTTAATTTTCACAATCACTTAAGTATGTATCACTTCTATCATAAACAGATTTAACTTGCCAAGATCATTGTCAGAATATATTCTGTATTATAATTTCAAAGTGTTAATAAGCTTAACAGAAAAATCTGAGTATCCATACAAAATTTAGTTTGGCAGTATCTAGTTTGCATTACAGTTCAATTTAGCAAAAAACTGGATAACTGAAAGGAACTCCATAGGGGAAAGGATAAATGTCACTATGAATCAGTAATGACTCAACAGCAACTGGCGTTACCAAACCAAAAAAAAAAAACAAATTCACTACCATTGAGTCAGACCTGACTCATAGCAACCCCTCTTTGGGTTTCTGAGGCAGTATCACTGTGGAAGTAGATCACCCAATCTTCCCTCCTAGGAGTGGCTGGTGGGTGTGAACCGCTAGCCTTCTGGTTAGCAATCAAGTGCTTTAGGCAATACGCTACCAGAGATAACTTAAATCACTGCAAATTAACAATGAGGTAGGCAGAAAATAGTAGCAAATAAGCTAAGGTCGTCTTTGGCAACAATTCAAACAAAGGGCAAGCTCATGTACTGGTCGAAGAGCAAAGTATAATCTTGGCAGCAGTCATCAAGTGTTAAATGTCCTTTATGACTTATTCTAAAAATTCATAGAAGAGATGAGGTCCAAAAAGTCAGGTACCAAGCTGTTTACCTCTGGGTAGCCTCAAATTTGTAAACTTGAATACTCGATGAAGTATGATTAAATTACTACAGTACAACTACTGAAATCTCATTTACAAAGAATAATGAAATAGGAAGATTAACAAGTGAAAAAAACAAAAACGGCATAGCCTCGTTATATTTTAAAAAATACTTTTTTCATTAAAAGAAAATACAACCTGTTAAGAGTGCTTATGTATGTATAGGTTTAATAAATCATTGTGATTCCTTTTTTCCTTCATCTCCAATTTGCTAAATGTAAGTGTTTGTAATAAAAAAATACTGCTAGGGTTAGCAGCCATTACTTTACTTTGAAATTTAGGTTCTTACCTTTATAACCAGGAGCTCTGATAGCGTAGTGCTTAAGGCATTTGACTGCTAACCAGAAGGATGGTGGTTCAAACCCACCAGCCACTCCTCAGAAGAAAAGTTGGAGTCTACTTCCGTAGTGATAGCACCTCGGAAACCCAAGGAGGGAATACCTATGAGTCAGGTCCAACTTGACAGCACGTAGGTACAACAACACATTTATAACCATGAGTAGTCGTTTTAAACACTTAACTCCAGACTCCTATGAAATGAAACTATTAACAGCTGCCCAACTTCTTGACTGCGTCTTAAATCAAATGAAAATAAGCCACTTTGTAAAGTGAATACAATAGGCATTTTTGTTATGTGCAGTCGAGTTGGATCTGACAGCGACCGCTCCTTGGGTTCCCGAGGCAATATCACTAGGGAAGTAGATTGCCCAACCTTCCTTCCAAGGAGTGGCTGGTGGGTTTGAACCACCAACCTGCTGGTTAGCAGTCAAGTGCCTTAGGCACTATGCTACCAGGAATAGAGATTAAAAAAGAATCAACTATAAAAATCTGTACATTCTAAAAACTGCTATGAAGAATTAAAATGAATACTGAATATTGTCAGAAGGAAGGAGATATTAAAGTATTCAATATAAAAATGCTAGACTTAAAATTACTTCCTTATGAAGAATGTTACTCAGAATTTCAAAAATCTTAAGTCATCTTAACCTATCATAGTATTTACTGGAAACATGTTGTATGTATACACAGACTTCCTGTACAGTCGCAAATCTACAAAACTTAATTAGGGAGGGTACAACCATGTAACATGATTATTTAGAAATTCCCAGACTTTGAGAAATCAAATGTTAATAAAGAGTTTGTGCCATAGTGTTTTCTTTCCCCCTTTAAGGCACTGGTTTAAGCTTGCTTCTCAAACGTCGATACGTGTATCTCATGACTAAAGTATTAGGGATCTGTAGATGGTAGCACCCTTAGACAGGAGCTCTGGTGATGTAGGATACGTGTATCTCATGACTAAAGTATTAGGGATCTGTAGATGGTAGCACCCTTAGACAGGAGCTCTGGTGATGTAGGGCACATAAGGCATTTGCTAACCTGAAGGCTGGGAGTTCAAACCCATCAGCCACTCCACAGAAGGAAGACTGGGCAGTCTACTTCATAGAGATACACCGCCTTAGAATTCAAGGGGGACCGTTAAGAGAAACAACGTGACAGCAGTTTTTTTTTTGTTTTTTTTTTCCCAGTTTTGCACCTTAGATTATATTTTAAATTATCCAAAGCACTTTTTTGGTCATCTCTGTCTTGGACTAACTATAAATTTTTTCACACATGACATGATCTGGAAGGTAACCAACCTATGGTTATTGCCCACTGTAAACACTCACACCATGTCAGCTTATTCATGTACTTCTGATTTTCTCTTGCATTCACAATTCCCAGTTCTTGGTTATTCTTCCCTACAGCTGGCTCTATTAGAGCCATTAACATCTGAATTAATACTGTAGTACAGTGAAACCCAAGAAAGCTAAAACAGGTGTGAGGCTTTGGGAGCGAGTCAGAGAAAGAAAACAAGTATTTGCCACTAAAACAAGCAAGAGTCTGTCAAAGCAGACTTGTGAGCTCCAAAAGGGAGTGCTGTTGAGTTCCAACTCTCACAGGTTTCACTGTAATTATTTAACCTTCTTTGTGGTTAAATAGAAACTGTTAGTCTTCATGACCACTAAAACAGTAAGTTTCCTGAATTCTTACTTTACTTACAAAACAGAAAAAGACTAGAAATTTAAACAGGATGATCTCAGTCAACTTTGTCAACAGTGTTGCAAAGACAAGGATAATTGGCCAGTTAATACTATTCTGTGAAATTTTACTGGTTTTTTTTTATAGCAACTTACCTCTGAAAGATTCATTTTACTACAAAAATGAACAGACTTTCTGGGGTCTAAAAGGATTTGTACTTGAAGATACTCCAGTCAGCAGGGGGTCATGTTGAGCATTCTGCAGACAGAATTGTTTCAAATCTGCAGCTGCCTGGGAAACCTATACATAACAAGAGAAAAGTGGGAGGTAATGAGAATGTTGTAACAAAGGTTTTCTAAAACCTTTCCAAATATTTGGCAATAAACACCACTTCTTTTATGCAAAAGATAGTACATACTAATTGAAGGCCAGTGAGCCTATTCTGAACCATTATACTTTAAACACTGCTTATAAACAATACTAGTTGACAGTACATTTGTTAGGTTGCTTATTGGAGGCATCAACTGTTACACTGCAAAGCACAGCATATCTAGTAGGTTATTCAAGTGCAGCTTAAGGCTACTTTTTTTTTTTTTAATTAAAAGCAGTACATGTTATCAGACAAACAGCACTAAAATTCTAGCAAACTACACCCACTCCTCACTGACATGGTTAGATTCCAAAGATTTCATTATGTGAAATCGGCCTTATGTGAGAATTAGGAGCTATACCTTGTCTTCAGTGCCAGTGCCCCACCCCCTAGTTGCTCACTGCCAGTGGGGTGCCCCTTGCACATCTGCTCCTCACCAACTATCTCATCATCTGACCTTTCACATTATAAGAGTAAAACATCTATCCATTTTGCACCTTATCCTGGGTTTCCTCCTTACATCCAGCTCCCAGCCCAAAGAGTCACTCATGT